GGCCTTACTCCTTACTAAGGCTAACCCCTCTACTTGTTCAAGTGGCCCCATCCAGTATCCTCCAGCAGATTGCCTCTTCTGTCATCCCCACTCTTTCACTTATTTTCAGTCTCTATATCAATTCATTCCCTGCTGCTTATAAACATGCCCAAGTCTCCCTTGTCCTGAAAAAAAAAACCCAAAAACCTTCATTTGATTCTTCCATTCCTGCTGTCATCCTGTATTTCTTTTGTCCTTTGTAGCTAAACTCCTTGAAAAGGCCATCTACAATAGGTGTCTCCACTTTCTCTCCTCTTATTCTCTTCTTAAACTCTTACAATCTGGCTTCTGACCCCATTGTTCCACCAAAACTGCTCTTAGTTGCCAAATCCAATGATCTTTTCTCACTCCTCATTCTCCTTGACTTCTCTACAGCCTTTGACACTGTTTATCACCTTCTCCTCATTTATGTTCTCTTCTCTCCAGGTTTTTGGAACAACACTTCCATCTAGTTCTCCTACCTATCTGACTGTTCCTTCTCAGTCTCTTTGCTGGACCTTCCACCAAGTCACACCCTCCCACTGTAGGTATCTGTCCTGGGCCTCCTTCTCTTCTCCCTTTATATTACTTCACTTGGACATCTCATCAGCTCCCATGGATTTAATTACAATCTTTATGCGGATGATTCTCAAATCTTTTTTTTTTGTTTGTTTGTTTTGGTTTTGTTTGTTTGTTTGTTTTGGATGATTCTCAGATCTACCTATCCTGCCCCAATCTCTTTGCTGACTTCTAATCTCACATCTCCAATTTCGGACATCTTGAACTAGATATATAGTAGACATCTTAAACTTAGTACAAACAAACAGAATTCATTATCTTTCCCCCTAAACCCTTCCCCAACCTCTTACCTTCTCCATTACTGTAGAGGGCAACACCATCCTCCAGGCTCACAAACTAGGAGTCATCCTGGACTCCTCACTCTCTTACCCCCACCCCCATACCCTGACTCTTGCCAAGGCCTGTCCATCTCACCTCTGCAGCATCTCTCAAATATACCCACTTTGTCCTCTGATACCCCCCCCCAGTGCAGGTCATCATCACCTCACACCTGGACTGTTGCAGTAGCTGTTTGGGGGTCTCTCTGCCTTAAGTCTCTCCCTACTCCAATCCATCATCCACTAAGCCACCAAAGTGATTTTCCTAAAGTGCAGATCCAATAACATCATCCTCCTATTCAGTAAACTTCAGTGGTTCCCTGTCACCTCTGGATCAAATACAAAATGCTGTTTAGCATTCAAAGCCCTTCATAATGTAGCCTCCTCTTACCTTTCTAGTCTTCTTACATCTTACTCCATTTCACTCTTCAGTCCAGTGACACTAGCCTCCTTGCTTTTCCACAAACAAGACCCTCAATCTCTCTGCTCTGGGCATTCTCTCTGGCTGTCCTCCATGCCGGGACCACTCTCCCTCCTCCACTCCAACTACTGACCTCCTGGCTTCTTTTAGGTTCCAACTAAAATCCCACTTTCTACAAGAAGCCTTCCCCAACCCCTCCTGAGTCTAGTGCCTCCCGTCTTTTAATTAATTGTCCTACATATAACTTGTTTTGTGTGTATTTCTTTGCATGTTGTCTCCCCCATTTGATTGTAAGCTCCTTGAGGGCAGAGACTATCTCTTGCCTCTTTTTGTATCTCTAGTGCTATCACAGTGCCTGGAACATAGTAGGCACTTCATAAATGTTCATTGATTGATTGAAGCAATTTAACCACTTGTTAGGAGATACTACAGAAGGCATTCACATTTAGGTTGGAATAGTGGCCTTGAAAATGCTTTCTAGCTCTAAGATTCTGTGATTCTGGAGTGGGGAGAGAAGGGAGAACACAAAAGCATATTACTAAAATATAATATTAGCCTAAACATTTCAGTAAACTACAATATCCAGTATAGCTGCTAGATGTCAACACAATACCATACTATGTTTTTCAATGTCAATTAATGGATAAAAAAGTATTTATTAAGCTCCTAATATGTGTCAGGCCCTGTCCCAGGTGCTGGGGCTACAAAGACAAAAAAATGAAACAACCCCTGTCTTCCAGGAGCTTATATCTTATTGGTGGACACAGCAAATCCAAGTATAAATATAGACAAAATATAAAATGCAAGATAATGGTGGGAGGGAGAGGAGAAATCTAAATGGGGCAGGGGGAGGGGGAAGAGCGAGGGCATGGAATCAGAAAAAAAAAAGCTTTATGTAAGAGGTGGTACTGAGGAAACTAGGAATTCTCAGAGGCAGGGGTGAGGATGGAACATATTCCAGGCATAGGGGGATAGCTTTGCAAAAGCATGTAAGTGGGAAGTATTTTTGTATATGAAGTTTTGTGTGTGAAGGAGTGTCCTTGACAGTAATGGGAAAGTTCAGAAGAGCGGTATATTGTGGAGGAGACATAAGGAGTCCAGTTTTGGATACACTGAATTAAGATGCCATAGAGTTAAAAAACAAAAACAAGACAAATAAAAAACCCTCAGTCATTTCCTTGATTGGCTTCTTCCCTTCCTTTTGTACGTAAGTGGAGGGATGGGTCTTTACACGGAGCATGACCATGCTAAGCATGTGGTACCCCACCTCTAAGTGGTATGAGAGGCAGCCCCAGATCGGAGAATGGGATCACCAATAACCCCACTCCACCAAGGGTGTTCTGTCTCAGGCTCAGTTCACATTTGCCTCAAGGATTTATCTCACTTAGAGTCACACATATAGAATAATAGCTCTCTGAATGTAGGTCTTTTTGGTTTGGTACAATTTATGCATCCTTAGGGGTATATTACTCGTATATGTTATTAATACATCTCTCTTGCATGTCGGACTTCCAACTTAGATCAGCATCTGTTCTCTTCCCTTTACTCTTTAGTACTCACTGAGGTAGGGTTGTGTCTCCTGTCTCTCTAAGAGTTTAAAAATATTCTTAACGAATTTCTACAGGCACCAGGGACTGTCTCATTTTTCTACTTAAATTAAGTAAAAATATTAAAACTATTTGTCAAGTGCCTACTATGTTCCAGGCAGGAGAAGGGGCATGGTGTAGTAAATAAAGCACCAGCCTCCAGATCACAAAAATGTGGGTTCAAGTCCTTCTGATGCCTAGAAAAGCCACTTAATGTCTCAGTGCTCTTGGCAATTATAGAAGATGAAAACTTAGAGGGAGTTGTTTCCCATGAGCACTCCCTGCACCCAAAACATCAGAAGTCCAAGGCAATGTCCCTGCTATCCTCAGGTCCAGTGTTTGAACATTCTGCACAGCAGCTGTATGTAGAATGAGGTTTTTGGCGAAATGATCATAGCCCAGATACAGGGTCTATGGGCAGTCTGTCCTTTTGCTCTTTTATGATGTTACTTGATATGCTAATTTCTGTATGCAATACCTCTGTATCACACTCTTGCTCCATAAACTTCAGGATCAAATACAAAATCCTGTTTAGCATTCAAAGCCCCTCCCTTCCATTTCTAGCCTTCTTACCTTATCCCAGCCCCACCCCATGCAAATCCAGTGACACTGGTCTCCTTGTTGTTCAACAAACTAGACACTTCATCTCATGACTCTGGGTATTTTCTCTCACTGCCCCCATTGCCTAAAATGTTCTCTTTCCTCATTTCTGACTCCCCAGCTAAAATCCCACCTTCTACAGGAAACCTCTCCCTGTCCCTCTTAACTCTAGTGCCTTCCTTCTGTCGATTATGTCCAATTGATCCTTTATGTACCTTGTTTGTGTTTGCTTGTCTCTACCCTGAGATTATGAGCTCTTCAAAAACAGGTGTCTTTTGCCTTTCTTGTGCTAAGCATCCTCAGTGCTTAGTCCATTGCCTGTCACAGAGTAAGGGATTAGTAAATGCTTATTGACAACTGCCTGCCTGCCTATGCCTGTCCTCAGATGTGTAGGGTTGAGTGAGAAGATGATATATTTGCATCAGGCTCTAGCAGAGACAATTTTTCCTAAGAACTTGGGGTTGACACCATTGAATGTATTGCATATCAGTATTGTATCCAAAAGGATTGCTGTAAGATTGCTAATTGCTAAATGAATCAAGTATAACTAAACTTTCACTGTTTAATGTTCTCATATTCACAATGTTCTCTTATATTCATTGGAGTCTATATGGTATTCAAGGAGGATTAGTACTTCTGATATGATGGCTTGCCAAGCCCTTTTCAGGGCTGCTCATCCACCTTTGGTATATACCTGCCACCCAGCTCTCATTTGTGACTCCAAGAAGCTGTAGCATGTGCAGTGGCCACAGCCTGGCAAAACCATCTCAGCGGATGGGTTAACCCAGGCTGAGGGTAACCAAAGGGCCACAAACCCATCAGTGAGTTAGAGGGGTATCTACCTCAACCATATGCAAACTTCCCTGGCGGAATAGGTAGATAGGAACATTTTGTTTCAATGGGCCATGAGCCCATGGAAGTAAGCACTGTGGAGCACTTTAGAGCTTTGCCAAGCATCAAAGATGCCAAGGTCATCCACTGCATCCAGAGCCATAGCCAGTCATCTTGACTTTTGTCTTGCCATTGGGCTCCAATTACTCTGGAAGACAGTGAGGCTGATGACTTCAAGCAACTCTGCCTCCCTTAACCCTTAAATCCAATTTACGTGCAAGTCAAAAGGCATCACCCATACCATATTCATATTATTTTAATGATCATTTCTAATCCTCAAAAGGAACATTCCCTCCCCCCTTCCCAGTATATTCCAAGATCTCCTTTTAAGTTAAACTATGACTTCTCATACATAGGTTCAGCGGGGCATAAACACTGTTGTTTATGCGACAAAATACCTACAGAACTTTTCCATCATCTTTGGTGTAGAAATGATGACTCTTATTTAATCAATCAGTTGATATCTGTCATAGAGTAAGCTATCATGGAAAAATCCTTTCAAATCACTCAATTCAACAAAAAGCAAAGAAAGGGTAAAGAAATTCACTCATTCAGGATAGACTATCATGTAGTAGGCAGGAAGCAAAAGAACTTAAGTCAGATCAACAATTATCTATTCAATGTTTACCACAAGGAACACTGTATTTGGGGAAAATAAGTTTTCTTTTATAATTTCAAAAATAAATCGATCCATTACACTTGTCTTAGAACTTAGAGATAAGAGTAACCAAATAAGATGAGGGGATAAGAGAAAGTATGATCTCATGGCTACACCCCTGATCTTTGAGGCAGGAAGACCTGGTGTCAAATCCTGCTTCAGGCACTTGCAAACTGCATCATCTCATACAAATCACTTCATCTCCTTTAGCCTCTGTCAAATAAGGGGATTGAACTAGATGGGTTCTGAGGTCCACTCCAGACATAAATCTTTGACTATGAGCCTGCGGACCCACTTACTAACCTAAGGAATGGGTAGGTAGAAAGGGAATTTGAGACAGCACATGTAGACCATACATTGGAAAAGATTGGTAGTGACTGAAAGGAGAGGGGAGGGAGGAAAAAAGGAGGGCGGGGGGGAGGGAGACGGGGGGAGAGTGAGAGAGAGAGAGAGAGAGATGGATTGGTTCAGAATGGATTGCCACAGATGGAGGAAGATGGAGAACATGGTCCAGTGGTAAGATCACTGTAATTGGAGTCAGAAGCACCAGATCTGAATCCTAGCTTGACTACTGAGTACAATGATTAGAGCACTGCTGTAAGCCTCACCTACTATCTGATTTTGAATACTCCAGCATTAATGGTTTTGATAAGCCCTCACCCTCCTGGACAAGCAATCGCCTGCATACCCAATTTAACGCTAGTAAAATGTTACCACAAGTCAAACTTGTGTTATTTATTTTCTAATTTTAATGCCAACTTAAGAAATGCTATTAAAATGATCATTTCTCTTCCCTGTATTTATTTCCTTCAATATTTACTTTTGTAGATGGGCAACAGGTACATTGTGGGCTGAAATCCGCTCAACACTATCTCCACTGCTATTAAGTCTTAATCCTATGTCAGATGACCTTTCATAGGGGTAAGACTGTAATGGGCAATTTTAATGAGGATGATTTAGTCTGAATTTATATTGACACAGAAGGAGTTCACAACTTACTTCAACCCATCATTCTTTTCTGCTCCATTCTGCCATCCTTCACATTGGTTAAATGTGAGTTAGGTGCCACATGGGTTGCAATCCAGTAAATCTAGGTTTTAAATGAGTCCAAGTCTAATACTATGTTTTGGACACACAATGCCACAAGAAGAGTATAATATCTGAGTCAGCCACAAGATGGTGCTCTTAATGCCCTGTCCATTTTGATTCTGTACACGGGATATCATCAAAAAACTGGGTAACATAAATTTATAGCAGACTCAGAGCGACTGTGATTGTTTCTACCTTTGTTCACCAGTGTATGTGTGTGTGTGTGTGTGTGTGTGTGTGTGTGTGTGTGTGTGTGCGCGCGTGCGTGTACCTGTAAAGTCAGAAAGTGGTAAATGGTGGGAGTCACTCAAAAGTGAAGCTTGAATGGGCATAAGCAGGGATACTTTGGGGGGGCCAGTGATTGAAGAGGGCAGTGTAGAGGTGAATTGGTTAACAAAGATGTCAGGTTAGAGAAGAAAAAAGAATGGCTAGTGCAGTAGAGATGGGATTGGAAAGAATGGCGGAGTTAAGGGATAGGAATGGATGAAAAGTAGGGTGTGATAAGGAAAGAGGGATGTAAAAAACTAATATATTATGGTCAAAAAAGGGGATTTCAGACTTCTTGAACATTTGTGGGTGACAAGGGTATGACCACCTTTGTGGGTGGCTAAAAGGTGCAGGAGTAAGTCAGGGGAATGAGTGGTTAGGCTGTTTTGAGTAAAAGTCAATAGGTACATTGAAGTCCACCAGTATGAAAACAGGAGTTGGCGAGGCAAGAAAAACTGTGAGACATAACTGAATTCATCGAACAAGGAAGGGAGGTTGCCTGGAGGTATGTAGACAACAGCTACCAGGATTGTGATTAGGTGGAAGGGACCAACTGCATGACCCTCAAAGGAGAGGCTGCTGAGAGATGGAGGAAGGGAGAACCTGGAAGTGGCAGTGGGGCATTCCAACTCCTCTGCCTCGACCAGTAAGCCACGGATAATGAGTGAAAGTACAGCCAGTACTTGAAAGTGTGGCCAGGGATGCTGTGTCATCAGAGGGCAGCCAGGTTTCAGTGATAGCTAGAAGATGGATGGAGTGGGAGGGGAAGAGGATTTAGAATGAAGGGAAGTTTGTTGCCTATGGAACAGGCATTCCAGAGGACACAGTGGAAGGGGCAGCATTTGGCTGGGACTTTGGGGTGGGAGGGTTGAGGGGGATGGAAATAAGGAATCGGGTGGTGGGGGATGGAGAATGGGGTTTGGATGATGACCTATAGGGGTTCAGAATCACTGGGATCTGTAAAGTGTGACCAGTTGTGGGAATGTTCATTATTGAAGGGAAGGCACCACTCCTCTTCCCAGAGGAGGCTGAAGATCAGGCAAAAGACAAGTACAGCAGAAAATGGAAGGCACACAGTCAGATGGTCAGATGGGAGGCCCCATTTCACTGCTTCTCTTCTGTCAGAAGGCTGGAGATGAGTCAGAAGGTGATGCAGCAGGAGTTCGAAGTCCCACTCCCTGCTGACTTTCCTCTTCCCTCAAGGGACAGGTGCAGCAGGAGATGGAAGGGCTGAGGTCGAAGGGAATGCTGCTCCTCTTCACACCAGAGGCTCTCCACAGAGAATCTCTCACCAGCAGGAGTCAGTCTGTCAGTAGGAGGTGTAAGATGTCTTGCACTGAAGCAGAGCCACCAGCCTTCCTTCAGGGGGGCACGCACAGCAGGAAATGGAAGGCAAGTGATCAGAGGAAGTTCTTGCTCCTCTTCTTACCTAAGGCTGGTGAGGTACAAAATACAAAGAAAATTCAAGTTAACTTGAGAGGAGGATGCCCTTCTCTAATGCCTGGGGACACAAGGAAAGGCCTCATGGAGGAGATGTCCTCTGAGGAAACTAAGAATTGTGATAAACAGTGGTGAGGATGGAATGCATCCCAGGGATGGAGGATAACCTGTGCACAGGAATCCTACCAGAGTCCCAGAAGGACAGGGAAGAAGGCATCTAGAAAATAAAAGTAACTCCTCTCTGCCAGTGGTACTTCCCCCACCATGGTGAAAGATGCAGAACAAACTCTTCTGGCTGCCAAATCCTATTAGCCTACAAAGTCAAATTTGGCAAACCGATGAATTCTGGAGTAGCTTTGGCATGGATCTCCCATCTACACAGCAATGATGTATGGATGGAGGGGGTTTCACTTTTATGATGGCTTCCCTTCCCAAACTCACATCTGAGGATTTAACTATGTATTAAAAACAGTAATTGCTTCAAAGATCATTGCTGACCTCCCACCTTTTGGAACAATTATCTCTTTTGAAGGAAGAAACACAGAATGTTCCGGGTACACAGAGTGCTCACAATTTCCCTTACGACTTACAATGGCAGAAGCAACATTTAACAGAGAGGTATATGAGATATTGTGACAAAACTCTCCAGGAGGACATTGTCTAGGAACTACTGCCAATGACCTATCAGCAATGTAAATACAGGAGAAAACTGCAGTTTATTACACTCAGAGAACGACCCATGTGGAACATTTGGCAATCAGTCAGTTAGCCCCAAGCATTAGTTTTAAGCTACATTATATAGGTTTTGGCCACATAAGCAGGATGGCTACAATGGAATTTCAAAGCACAATAGGGGAAGTAAGAGTATCCACATCAAAGAACCAATGTCAGCAGGAGAAGACTTATATCAGGTAAAGTGGAAAACCAGCCTGTTAACACCAGAGCTGTAGCTAATATCTCAAGCTTGATTTTATAGACTCTAGCATGTTACGTGATGTGCTCATCTTAAGTAAATGGCATTAAGAGGATTAAGCCAGAAACTTTGGCTTATCACAATCAATACTTAGAGAACAGAAGGAAGGCAGATGTAGAAGAGAGACCTCAAGTGGATGGGAAAGAGTTAAGGGGTGCCAGGAAAGGATTCCTGCAGAAGATGGTTATCAGTTCAATCCTGAAGCAAGTGATGGAAGCTAAAGAGCAGAGGTGAGGAGGGAGAGCATTTCAGGAATTTCAGGAGGACACCCAGCATAAAGGAACCAAGTGGTGTCATGAGTGAGGAATAGCAAGTAGTTTTCAGAGAGGAGCAAAGTACAGCAGGACTGGAAAGGAAGGAATGGACCAGGTTCTGAAGAACTTTAAATGGCAAACAGCGTATTTTATATATAATCTTGGAGATAATGGGCAGACACCAGAATTTGTTGGGTAGGGGATTGATGTGGTCAGATCTACACTTTGTGAAAATCATTTTGGCAGCTGAATGGAAGATGGACTGGTGTAGGAAAAGATTTGAAGCAAGAAGACCAATTAAAAAGCTATTGAAATAGTCCCCGCAAGAAGACATGACTGAACCAGGGTGGTGACTGTGCGAGTGGAGAGAAGAGGATTTGTAGGAGAGATATTGTGATGGTAGAAGTAACAAGACCAGGCAACTGATTGGGTATGTGTGAAGAGTGAGATTAGGAAGTCAAGGATTTGAAAGTTATGGTAATGAGAATGTGAATGTGGTGGTGGTGATATGAGAGTGCTGATGGTGAAAATGTGATAATGATGGCAGAGATGTAAAAGTGATGGAGGCAGGTACATGAACATGATCATAGTAATTCAAAAGGGATGGTCATAGTGGTTTGTATATGACTGTGACATTGTTGATATCGTGACAGTGATTGCAGTGATGTTACAGTGATGACGGGGATGTTCAAGTCATGGTGGTGGGGCTTCATCAATGGTGTTTGCAGAGATCTGAAAGTGATTTTGCTAGGGAAGTGCCAGTGTCATTAGTGGGGATATAAACGTGGTATTCATGGTGATGAAATAATGGTGGTGATATAAATGTTCCTCATTGTGCAGATGAGACAGTGGTGACAGTGTTGAAAATGTGGCAAAGATCATAAAGATGTGAGAGTGACACAGGTGCGTCTATGACAATGATATTATTGATCCTGTGATGATGAATGGTTGTGTATGCTCCATATTGGGCAGTTAGGTGGCACTGCAGTGGATAGAGTGCCAGGCCTGGAGTGAGGAGGACATGAGTTCAAATCTGGCCTCAGATACATACTCTCTGTGTAACCCTGGGCAAGTCACTTAACCCTGCTTGCTTTGGTTTCCTCATCTCCAAAACGAGCTGGGAGAAGGAAATGGTAAGCTACTCCAGTGTCTTTACCAGGAAAACTCCAAATGGGGCCACAAAGAATTGGACATGACTGAAAAACAACTGAACAACATCCTCCACATTGGGCATCTGCTAGTTGTTGAACAGAGGATAGAGAGCTGTCCTGGAAACTTAGGTTCAGCATGGTTCCCCGCTTGCCCATGGGCTCCCCTGATGCTCCTTCCTTTCAGTTTGACCAACACGGAGGAAGGTCAGAATATTTTCCTTCTTAGGGTCCTCTCCTGGGCATTGTCAGCACCTGGCTGAAGCCTGAAAGGTTCAGCCTGGGGATTGGAGCAGAGGTGGTGGTGGTGGTAGTGGTGGTGGTGGTGGTGGTGGTGGCGGTGGTGGTGGTAGTGGTGAGATGTAGACGTTATTCTGGAATTCCAATTGTCTGTAGGGTGCTTTCCAGACTTGGTGGCTCAAGGAGCCTGAGGAGATGTGGTCCAAAACCTCTTTACAATTTTAAAAATTACTGAGGACACAAGGAAAATTTTTAAATGTAGGTTAAATCAATGGATATTTAACATATTAGAAATGAAACTCAAAAATTTTAAGATAAAAGGGCAGCTAGGTGGCACAGTGGATGGAGCACTGGCCCTGGATTCAGGATGACCTGAGTTCACATCTGGCCTCAGACACGATACTTACTAGCTGTGTGGCTCTGGGGAAGTCACTTAACCCCAACTGCCTCGCAAAAAACAAAAACAAAAACAAAAAATTAAGATATGCATTCACAAATCTGTTTTAAGATGGCACTAATAAACCTATTATACATCAACATCATGCAAATCACATGCCTGTGGTGTGAGATAGAGGTAATTACAAAAGATAAATTGATTACTGGAATGATTCCTGATAATTAATTCACTTGAGTATAGGAAACTGCAAAGCTTCAGCATAGCCAATATTAATGTACCTAGAAAGGACATAAGAAAGGAAATGATGGAATGGGAAAAAATATTTGTATAAAACTTCTCTGGTAAGGGTTTGATATTCAAGATACATATAGATATAGATGTATATATACATATACATAAATGTATATGTGTGAATATATATGTCTGTGTGTATATATATATATATGTGTGTGTGTGTGTGTGTGTGTATATACTAGTAAACATATACAAATATGACTAAATCCTAATAGATGTAATCAAAGGATTTGAAAAAGTTCTTACAAGAAGAATTGGAAAGTATTCACCACTACCATTGCATGGGGAGAAAAATGCCTCAAGTCACTAAGAAGAGAAATGCAAATCAAAACAATCCTGAAGTTTCACCTCACACCCTGCAAATTGTCAAAGATGACAAAAAAATGGAAATAGTCAATGTTGGAGGGTGTGGAAGGATATCCGGCACACTAATGCATTGTTTATGGAACTATGAAATGCTACAACTACTTTGGAAAGCAATTTGGCATTATGCAAATGAAGTGACTAAGATGTCAATGTCTTTGAACTAGAAACATCATTACTGGGCTTGTGCTCCAAGAAAAGAACTGATAAGAAGAAAAACTTCATAAACTTTAAAAAATTTAAAGCAGCATTTTTTGTGATACCTAAGAACTAGAAACAAAGTAGATACCCATTGACTGGGGAGTGACTAAACAAACTGACTCAAATGAAAAGATATGAGAAGACAACCCCAACCTACCCCTTTGTGGAGGTGAGAAGTCCACAAGTGTTATACATTGCACAAGTTTTTGGATTTTTTCAATGCATCTATCAGTGGTGCTATTTTTTTTCTCTTTAAAAAATGCCAGGTATTATATGGGATGGATCTCTGGGACAGAACACTTGGGATCAGTATGATGACATAAAAAACAGAAAACATCAATAACATTTTATTTTGGAAAGGAAAAATAAATTAATTTACATTATTCTTGAAATGGAATTGCCTTCTTTTGTCCATCCTATGTGTTTTATCTCATGCATTTCAAAATATCATGAGAAGTAGACCCATAAGCTTCAAAAGAACTCTAGGGATGATCCATGACACCAAAAAAAAAAAAAAGTAAAAGCTTGGGCATGGCTGGAATACTGCACTGCAGTCTTCTTATTGTCCTGGGCCAATCTCCTGCCTAGGAGGCTTGAATGCTTGCTGCAGGTCCAGTGAACAGGTTTCCCTTCAGTCATGGCCCTTTCAGTGCCTGGCTTCCTGGGCTTTCCCACATGCAGTTAGTTGCCACTGAGACTGACAGTCAAGATGCATTCATGAGGAACTTCGGTGCCATCCTCAGCTCCTCACTAGCCCATATAGACACTCTGGGATCCAGTGTTTTCCTGCCTTGCTTCATCACAACTCTCCAACTCATCCTATTCTCTCCATCTCATCTCAGAGCTGTCACCCTGGAGTTCCCAATGGCTCCCAGGCTTATGCTTGGCCCACTGCACCATGGCCTGTTGATGGATCTCCCAGCCTCAAGTGTCTCTCCATTCCACTCTATCCTCCACGAAGGTGCCAAACTCAGCCTCTCAAAGCACAGTATCTGACTAATCTTTTGCCTCCTGAATAAGCTCCTCTGAATGCCCTCTTACCTCCAGAATCATATGGAAGATGTTCTTTTTGGCTGGGAAGCTCTTCACAGCCTGCTGCCTTTCTTCCTTTCCAGTCTCCTTAGA